AAACCCATGACCTTTGGTCTGGCTCTGATACCAAATTGAAGCATGTGCTCCATCTCAACTAAAAGCCTAAGCTGATAGTTGGATACACATTAATGGATATATGCTCACAAGGCTTATATATAGCAGACTAAGTTTTGCTGGGTCAAGGCCAGGCCAGGGAGTTGGCAAGCATGGAAAGTTGAATTGAAAGCAACGATTATTTGATATATATAAAGAAGGAAGAAAAACGCACAATCTTACATACAAAGAGGAATAATATGATATAATAAAAGATGAGTAGCAGTAATATGTTGTGTACGCAGATGAGAGGATTTTACATAGGTGGTGGAGCACAATCAACAGACGCCGCCGCACTTGAAACTGATGTCGGAGCTGCGGCCGCAGACGCCGCGGGGCCAAAGGCGGCGCCAGAACTCAGAAACCGTGACGTTGCACGGCCTGCACTGCTTCTTACTGCCTTGCACAGATCTGGTAAAAGCACTCCTGTAAATGTCCCAAAAAATTGTAAAAAAAATGTCAAGTTTTTAATACATACAATAATAATATAAAAGAAAATTTTAAGGTGTTTTGCACTTGATACAATCATATATATATATTTACAGTTGTATCTGTTAAAGTCAGCTCTTTAATTATAGAGTGGTCAGGAGTTTGACTCTCACAACAACATTTTGTACATAAAACTTTTCAAATTAGAGTTTGAGCCATTAGGCTCTTTAAATTGAAATTGACCGAAATGTAGAGATGGTTCAATTTCCTTGCTTATAAAGTCAACAACAGAAGGATTGATTGAGGATCTATTTGAATGATTCGTGATTATTTAACTTTTGAAAATTTAAGATTAGTCCGACTTAAGGTGAAATATAATGTATAAAAAAAAAAAAAAAAAAGTGGGACGACTCCATACCTTCTTCAGAAGCCAAGTTGTAGTACAAATCAACAATGTTGGGGCAGTTATGGTAGCATTGTGGCAAGCAAAGTTTAGCGGTGAAACGGTGGTCGAGAAGGGAATCAGATGATATTCCGACGGATTTCCGATCAACCCCACAGGCTGAAATACATTCATCTGTCTCAATATGTTCACGCATATGCATATTAGTCCCCACCACCACTATCTCCGATGTCTTGCACTGCAATTCCATAGCTCCGTCGCCAGATGCATAGGTCTCTAACAAGCATCGCTTCCCAGAAGATGCAATTGAAAATGAGCAGATGCCAACAGGCAATTGCTCACACACCAAGTCCCCCATAGCGGTTTGAATGAAGAGGAGAGAGAAGCAGGCAAGAAAATAATGTATGAACTTCATCATTTTCAATTCAATTATGCTCTAAGAGGAAATTAAAAGAAGATAGATTTCTGGGCTTTAATTAATTTCTGTGATGGTTTTATGTGGGGTGGCATTGCATTGCATGCATGAAGTTTAAATAGAATTGAAAAAGCATGCAAAATGACGACAAGGCATAGTATGGTAGTGTTAGTTTATGGTAAACGCTACGAATCTTGATTTGTTTTTTATTCAATTAGTTATTTTATACTGTTGTCTTTCAAATAAAATATTAGTCCATAACATTTTTATGAGTCCAAATAAACGAATGGTAATTTGATTTGGAGGTTTAATTTGTATTCAAAGACGGAGCGCAAAAGCAACGCACTCCATTCCTTCCAACTTTACCATCACTCCAATTCTACCTAATTATTAAGTGCTCAAACACTTTTTTAATTAAGAGTTAATATTCGTAAATTACTTGATTTAGTCACTAACTTTAAAATGAGTTACATTTGTGTGAGACCATCTCACGGATCCTTATTCATGATACGGTCGGATCGGTCAAATCAATATGAAAAATGTCACACTTATATGTTCAAATGCAATACTAATCAAGAATTAAAATAAAAAAAAAATATTACTTATAAGGAAAAATGTAATATTTTTGAAGAAAAATGTAATACTTTTGCATTTTAATGTAAAAGTATATATATATTTTCCATAATAAGTAATGTTAACGAGTGTCCCTTATAAGGAAAAATATAATACTTTTGAGGAAAAAAAAAAGTATTACATTTACACATTAGCGGAGCCACAATGGGTCAGCTGCCCCCACTCCCATCCCATTTATATATAGCAATAGCATATGTATAGGTCCATTGTGTATATATAGTTTACTTACAAATACTAAATTTACATAAACTTAACCAAAGGATGAGTTAGCATAGATAGTAAGATATTTGATTTTTCACTATATGTTAGGGGTTTAAATCCTACAACACGAATTTTATAGTGAGATTAATTCTAATTGAATTTTTTTTATTTGTAACATTGTCTTTTTTTATCTCATTTTTTTAAAAATATTAATAGTGATATTATTGATTTATAATATGTTTTCTATTCGAACTATTTTATGTAATTAATTATATTTCATATTTTGTGGAATTTTTATTTGTAACATTGTGTTTTTTTTCTCCTTTTTTAATATTAATAGTTATATGAGTGTTAGTTTTATAAAATGTTTTCTATTCAAATTATTTTATCTAATTAATTATATTTCATATTTTGTTTTGAATATTTTTTTTATATCTCATTTTGATATATTTTAATTTTTCATCCTAATTAACAATATTTATGACTCAGCCTTTAAGTATTTTTTTTTTCAGAATATCTCATTAGTTTTTAATCTTTTACCCCCACTGGCGAAGATTTCTGGATCCGTCCTTGCATTTACCCTATTGACATTTGCGCATATAAGTATTAAATTTTCATTATAACCCTACTCGTCTTACGAATAAGGGTCCGTAAGACAGTCTCACACTTGTGTGACCCTTGTAATTAATCCAGAAAAATTATGTTAACTAGGCATAGTATGCTAGTGTTTATGGTAAACGCTATGAATCTTGATTTGGTTTTTTATTCAATAAGCATATGCCAAAACAACAAGCATTCCCATTTTTTGGGCTTATATACACGCAAAACATATTATTGCGTCGCCTAAGAGTTTCGAACTCTCGCGGGGAAACCCCATGTACTTAGCAGGCACACGCCTTAACCACTCGGCCAAAGCAACATACATGCAATAATTATTTTTAACTTCACAGGAGAGGTTTTTTGTAGACCACCAAGTCCTAATCTAACATAAACTCCTAATATAATACACATACTCTAACATAATACATAATACATATAAACTCTTAACAGAATACACATAAACACAAATGTTTTTTTAAAAAAAAATTGTAACAGACAAAACGGTGTCCATCACGTCAACTCCCAACACAACTTATAAAAACGACGTCATTTTGGATTAGGGTGCACAATGCATGCGCCCTGGTGTACAATATAACGATTGAATGAATTGAAGTTCATCGCACAAGTAAATAAATGTTGAATGAAAAAAAAAAAATTACATTATCAAAATAAATAGAAAATTACTATACTTCCGTACAATTGATATGATTAAATGGTTAATTTGTTTTGTACTATAAATAATGGTTAATTTCTTTTGGAATTTAAATTTCACTTAATTCTTTCTTCACAGAATTATAATTCATTTCTTCACTAATTCTTTCCTTCAAACTAAATGTGGTGTAAAAATTAGTTTGAAGACACGTTATTCGTAATAGGATGATTATTTTAATTATGATGATGATTTAGGAGGTTTCTATGACCGTGACATTGATGTTATTATTGTCATGTTAACATGATATAATGTTTCATTCAATTTAAATTTTATTTTATAAATAAATTTTATTATTATTCGCATTAATTTAACTCATTAGTTCAATATGGGTAAATATTTAAGAGAGAAGATCAAGGTTTAAAACTTAACAATAGTAATGTGAAAGTTATGCACAAAGTAGGTACCATTGAATTACCGCGATTTGGAGAGTTTTTGGGGTTACAAATTCAACTTTTAAGAGAAAAAAATTTTGAATTTATTAATTCTTTTAATTCTCACATTCTAAGTCGTCTTTAATTAAATTTCGTAAAGTGACATTGACCACATGGAGCAAATGCTTTGAATGAAATACTCAATTCAATGGATACATGCAAATTTTACCATGTTCAAAATGGTATCGTTTTTTTTAGTGGTTTCGTGTAATTAGTTTTGTGTGTATAAAATATTCAGTTTTATTTTATATAAATTGTAGTTTTATTTCAGCACACAACTAGAGTTTCATTTTGTTCTAAGTACATTTTCATTTTACATTATACCTACAATAGTCTTATTATAGTGAGACATATTGAATTTCATTTTATACACACTGTAGTCTTATTATAACACCACTAAATTATAATTCTAATTTAATTATACGATTTCATTGAACAATATACACTCAAATATGTGAAACTGTTATACAATTTCATTTTATATACACGGTAATTTCATTACAACACAACTAAAGTATCACGTACTTTAATATAACTATAGTTTCATTTGACAATATACACTCAATATGTGAGACATGTTATTCAGTTTCTTTTTATATATACTGTAATTTCATTTCATCAAAACTAAAGTATCATTTCAATTCAACTACAGTTTTATTTGACAATATACACTCACTATGTGAGACATGTTATTCAGTTTCAGTTTATACATACTGCAGCTTCATTTCAACACAACTAAAGTATCATTTCAATTCAATTACAATTTTATTTAACAATATAAACACAATATGCGAGACAAGTTATTCAATTTTATTTTGTTCTGAATACACCAAAAATAGGGATTTATTAAAATTTATTCGAACCATGATCCACACAACTCCTTCACTAGTGTTAGCTCTGCCACTACCTTTGCTTCATAGTAAGAACTCAAGAAGTCTTCGTCTGGACTCACTACTTTGATAAATGACATAAATTGATACGCCGAAAAAATAATAATTAATTAGGAGTGCTTAATTAGTAGTCCTAATTAAGCACTATAATTGCTGACTAAATACTTATTTCTTCTTCTCCCAAAATTACTTTAAAATATAAGAAGGAATATACCAATTCTTAATAACATGATAGAAGATATGGATTATTTTATTTGCATAAATAAAGAAGGAATACTTACAATACACTACAATCTTACATTCTTACATACAAAGAGGAATATGTAATTTAAAGATTATATCATCAAACCATAAAACATATATATAATAACCATTAGTGATAATATTTTGTGATTTTATTACATAGGTGCTGGAGCACAATCAACAGAGGCAATCGAAGTTGGAGCAAAAGCCGCTGCTTCCGATATCGGAGCTGCCGCCGCAGTGGACGCCGGAGCGAAGGCGGCACCAGAGCTCAGAAACCGTGACGTCATTTCACGGCCAGAACTGGTCCTTAGTGCCTTGCAGAGGTCTGGTAAAAAAACTCCTGTAAAAAAATGTTGCAAAAACAATAAAAATGACAAATAATACAATGTCCATTAATCTCAAAAAGCCATGGGAAAAGAAAGAAAGGACAAAGAAGGCACCTTCTTCGGAAGCCAAGTTGTAGTAGAGATCAACAATGTTGGGGCAGTTTTGGTAGCATTGTGGGGAGCAAAGTTTAGCCGTGAAACGGTGGTCGAGGAGGGAATCCGATGATATTCCGACTGATTTCCGATCAGCTCCACAGGCGGCAATACATTCATCTGTCTCAACATGTTCACGCAAACTAGTCGCCGCCGCCACCTCCGATGTCTTGCACTGGAATTCCGTAGTCCCGTGGCGGGATGGATAAGTCTCTAACAAGCATCTCTTCCCGGAAGATGCAATTGAGAAAGAGCAGACGCCAACCGGCAATTCCTCACACACCAACTCCCCAAAAGCAGCTTGAATGAAGACGACGAGAGAAAAGGCAATAAGGAAATGGACTAACTTCATTCTCAATTCTATATAGGGTGTTGGGCGAAAGTTGGTGAAGACGGGCCAGGTCCAGCACTAGATGGCTAGGAGATTGTTGTGCTGAAGCTGAAGGTCGGGTCAAATCCAGTACCCTACCTAGTGAAAATGTGGCGGTATAAAGCAAGAGGGAAAGATTATTGCTTAGGTTTCTTGGTTGGTGATTGTGTGAGGGAGGGGTGGCATGCATGGAGTTTAAATAGACTTAGTTGAGGAATTGAAGTGATGCAAAATGACAAGACACAAGTATTCTATATAGTGTATGTGTGTTTGAGGTAAGGGAATCCTTATTTGGTTTTTAGTATATATATTCGATGAATTTGCTGTTTTTCAAATACAAATTTAAGTTGTAAGAGAAAGCTGAGTCTAAATAAATGATGAATGATCATTTGGAGGTATATGCAAATTAAAGCCGGAGTGCCGCAGCAGCAAAGTAGTTGGTTCTTGTAAAACTTTGACATTTCATGTTTGTCAATATAAAGTAGCAACCTATTGATCTACTTTCTTAGTTTGGACCGATCAATTATGGACAACTTAATTTGATTTACTTCTTTGTGGCAAATTATGTAGTGGATCCGTATCCACCTTGTAGGTGGACACGGTCTCAAAATTATTCATAATTGTGAATATAGAGTTCAAAAATTATGAACATAGAACTCTATAATTATGAACATAGAGTTCTATAATTATGAACATAGAGTTCTGTAATTGTGAATATAGAGTTCAATAATTGTGAATATGAAGTTCAAAAATTATGAATATAAAGTTTTATAATTATGAACATAGAGTTCTGCATGTAATTGTGAATATAGAGTTCAATAATTGTGAATATGAAGTTAAAAAATAATGAACATAGAGTTCAGTAATTAATTATGAACATAGCAAGGTGGGCACAGTTCCACGGCATAGCAATCCCTTTCTTGTGGTACTTTATTGGCTAGGGCCACAATGCAGATTTATTCAGTGCATACTCTTGAATAGTGACTGCAAAATTGGTTTTTGCCGAAAATCAGAACAGCTATGCCCGGCAGAAACCATGTTTAGAGTGTGCCGACATTTTTCCAAGTCAACGAAAAATATTTTTCATTGACGACTGAGTTTTTCCTATTGCATCCAAACAATGAAAACTCGAAAAACATTTTCGAGAAGTCATTTTTCGAGTTTTCAAACGGACTCTGAAGTTTTCATCAAATCATATTCAACAATTTACACTACCAGAGAACCATATGTAATTAGGGAATAAATTAATTCAACTTGTTAAAATTCAAAAATTAAACAGAACAAAATATTAAATTTGCTTTTAACTCCTACAAAATTTAAACTAAAAGTTTTATACACACCTAAATGTCCAACACCATAAAAAAATTATGCAGTTAAAAATGTCAATTCGAAAACGAACTTCAATAAGATCCATAGTAAGAAAGAAAGAAAAAATAAATAAATTATTCGCAGAGCTAAAATTTTAATGCGTCGCCTGAGAGATTCGAACTCTCGCGGGGAAACCCCATGTACTTAGCAGGCACACGCCTTAACCACTCGGCCAAAGCGACAGCTTGTGCCACAAGGATTTTCATATTGCATTTATACGAATGTTCCACGTAGACCACCAAGTCAAAGATAAAAAAAGGGTTATTCAAATTTCGCAAACCATCTCACAGGAAAACTACTGAATAATTGTTTGTAACTTCACTAACTTGTAAAAGAAAATATGCTACTGTAACCTTTTAAGGGTTTGAGGAGTTAACCAATCTTTATACTAGGATTTACACTGCACTGTGAACTCTGATGCATGTCCATATATTTTATATTGTGAGTTTTTATGTCTTCTCTTATAAAATTTTGTACCTTAAAGTGTATAAATTTTGTATCTGAAACAAAATAGTAATTGTGTCTTATGTTATGAATTTATGTGTCTTGTGAAATTCTGTGTCAATGAACACAAATTATGTACCTAAATCATATTTGAAAAATAAGTAAATATATAATATGTGTATATGATCTTATGTTATAAAATTCTGTATCTTACGATATAAATTTTGTACCTCGTTATTTCAGTTCAGGGTTCATAATGCTATGTGAATCATGGTATAAATTATCGGAGTTAACTGAAATATTTTTAAAGTTTAGAAGTTGGAGTATATAATTCTTATCTCTCATATAGGCAAATGAAGTTCACTGCACACAAATGTTCAATGAAAAAAATACGGAGTAGTAAAATTACACTATCAAAATAAATAGAAAATTACCATAATTTCGTACAATTAATTTAATTTGATAATAGAAACTTCAACTTAATTAACGGTTAGAGATTTGGAAATTTCGGTTAATTCATTTAGTTAAATGCACACCCCTAACTAATTTGTCTAATCTAAGGCTAAATTGTCATTAACATTTCTGCGGTTAAGTTTCCAGAACTTCTTTTTCAGTTTCAGATTTCATACTTTCCCAATTCCCAGTCTCCTTTTCTCTCACATTATCAGTCACTGTGTGTATACGCTATATATATACACGTATGCGGATTATATTGGATTGGAGAAGATGATTCCCGAGACGGCGTTGCTGGAATGCCTGGTTCCGTCGTGGTGGGAGGTGCAGGTCACCGTCGCCGCCGCGGCCTTCGTCATCTTCGCCTACTGGTTCTTCTTCTATGATGGAGACGCCACTCGCGTCGCTTCGGCCTACTGTTCCGGTGTCGCTACCGGAGTTCTTAATGAAGATGACAAGGTCACATTTCCCTTTAGGCCTTGCGTATTTTGAATTCGGTTTATTTTGATTGCTGTGCTTTCTGCGGAAATTCTAGTTTCGCTTAATTAGGTTGTTTTTCCCGACAATTTCTGTTATTTCTGACATTTAAGCAATATTTCTGTAATTAAGCAATTAATGTTTGCTTGACGGCTGAATGATGAATTGATCCCAGTCGTTGAACTGCTTGATCAACCATTACCTTGGCCATGTGGAACTGTGAGGAGGTTAGAGGGAGTACAGAAGAGAGGCAAGAGTAATTTGTTATGGAATAAATTGAAAGAAAGTGTCTTTCTGATGCGATGATGGTGACAAGGATAAAAAGATGAGGGCTTTGCTTTGTCACTACTCAACATTTATGATGAAGCTCATTTTATCTTGAAGATAACTGAATGCAAGAGTGAATAGGATTTCTTTCTTAAGTTTTTGTTTTAGTAAATAATGTTGATTTTGCCTTCCTAAAATTCCTTTTCCAGTATGGTTCTTATGGTAGATTAGTGATGGGTTGCCAGTATTTTTTTTTTTTTAAAAAAAAATTTAAATAGGAATGTCACTCACCAATTTGGTACATTTACTTGGCTATTATTCACATATATTACTACGAAGCACACATGTAACAATTAAATTGTTTCCAAACACATAATATTTATTATTTAATTAGTTCAATTGTGATCTACTTTTGGTTCAAGTGTGAGAACTATTATTATGCTGAATATTTGGTACACTCAATGAGCATTGCCTTGGATTTTTTTTTTTTTTTTTAATTTTGATAGGTAGTGACCGGAAAGCCTTTTATTTGGTTTAGGGATTATTGTTGGTGATATTTAATCTTCTTGTACTAGTTGTTGGTTTCTTTTTCCCACATTTATTATGCTGGGAAATTGGTTGCCTCTAGCCTCTAGGGTAGCCTTGATGGATGCTTCCTTGGAGGGTCATTGTACTTGTTTGGGTTCCCTTTTCTTTTTCTTCTTCTCTTTGTCGCCCTTGACTTCTTTATATGATATTAATTATGCTCCTGCTGGCTGAAAGAAGTTTGGAAGTCAAAACGTGTAAATGTTTATTAGATAGTAGTTTGATTTCTGAGCTCCTTAGACTACTTGGTGATTAATATTAATAATTAATACTAATAATATGTTTTATGAAGTAGTCTCTATTTCTAGTGCATCATGTTCTTAGGCTTCTAAATCAATTATGTAAACATGTTATTATGGTCTGAATTCAATAAACTTCCATGGTGGGTGTGCAAATAGAGTTAAAAATCAATAGTTTTTTTTTTTTTTTTTTGTTTTTTTTTTTTTGGTGAAAAAATTGAAACCCTTCTTATTGGAGGATCATAGCCTTCCCCAAAATTTGAAATTCTTGATGAATGGGAGGAAACAACAAAATAGAGTCACGATTTCATCTTGCAAAGAGCATGAAGTCTGGAAATTAGGTAAAGAGACTAATAATTTGCTTGGTTGTATCTCATTAATATTTGAACTACATCCAGATGACACTGATGTGTAGCATTTCAAATATGGGTAGTTAGGTGACATGGAACTATAAAAAAAAAAAAACTGTTGAGTGGGCATTTTTAAACAATTTGAAATTCTTGATGAATGGGGGAGAACAGCAAATAAGAATCTCATATTTTATTTTGCAAAAATATGTAGTCTGAAATTAGGTAAAGAAATTATATTATTGTGTGTCTGTGAATGATTGTTGCTTGAACTAAATGACTAAATCTAAATTACACTGATGTGCGGCATTTCAAATCTTGATGAAAAAGGTGACATGACTAGAAAAAGAATGTTCTTTAGTGATGGGCGTTTTTAAGGAATTAGGTATAGTCAAGTATGAAGTTGATATCAGAGATATTTTACCTGATTCCAAGAGGCAATATCTTTCCCGGGAAGTTATTAATTGTTAGATATAGATCATTTTTTAATACAAATTATTAGTTCATTTACAGATTTACTGCAAATGATTTATTATTTGTGTAGTTTGTTATCTCTATTTATCGATTACACTTAGAACTCCACTTTTCAGTTTGAATTTTTTGTATAGTGAAGTGATAATTCTATATTTACATGCTAAGATTAAAATGATTCCTCATACAGGTCTGTATTAATTTGCTATGTGATAAGTATGCAAATTTCATTTCCAATATGTAATTTTCCCCTGGTTGACATGCTGTTTTGCACTTATTTTGTAGATCAGCCAGTTAAAAGGTGATTATCAAACAAATTCTCCATACATAATCAAGGTACCTTTCACATTTTGCAAACAATATACTGCCTTTATCATGAAAGTGATGCATTAATCATGAGTTCTAATTTGCATATAATAACCATTTTCTGTAATTCCTTAATTACTGTTAACATTGTTGTCTTTTGTGTGTGTGTGTGTGTGTGTGTGTGTGTTTAAAAGGTGGAACTGCTAGCTGCTAAGAATCTCATTGCTGCTAATCTGAATGGCACATCAGATCCATATGCAATTGTCACCTGTGGGACACAAAAGCGGTTCAGGTTAAATCTTTAATGTCCACATCTCAATTTTCACAGAATGGTGTACGAGTTGTTCTAGATTCAACGATACTTAGTAGATCTCTTTAGCTCTTAACTGCTTTAACCCAAATTTCTTTTTTCTTTATAATGGTGAATATTGAGGGTGTGAATAATCTAAATACGAGGTGTATTACAAGGAACATAATTAGTTTTGGGCCTTTTGGCTGCCTTTAGAAGGATGTACCAACCCCTTAAGGTGCTGATAGCCTGATATATTGTCTGTAAATTCAATATATGTACTATTTTTCACCCAAACACAACGAATATAATGTGTTTGGATCCATCCATTTTACTTAGGGGGTGACAAATGGGTGTCCATTTATTACCCACATATGTCTTGTTTAAATGGGTTACCACTTTCAACCATTTATGACTCATTTAACTCCACTTAGCATTTTTTCTTTTATCCTTTCTCCATTTTTTTTCTCAAAAATTGGGGGTTTCCTGGCCACCAGCATTGTGACCATTGTGGTCAGCCAAGGCCAGCTGTGGCATTGGCCATTGACTATAATAGTGGAAATTGAAAAGGGTAGTGGGCTTGGTAGAGATGAGTTCTTAATGTATTAATGGGTTGATATAGAGTTTATAGACCCATTTAACAAAATAATTAAATTAATTAAATTAATTAAATGGATTAGTGAAGTAGTGAACTGACTTATTACATGACCTATCTAGGACCAACCCAAAACCTAGCTTATATATACCCATTAAGCACCTCTAATATCTGGTCTGACATAGTGGTAGAAGTAACATACTGAAACTTGCTACCAGAATGAGTGTGTGCTTTTATTGCTGCAGCACCCATGAATATCATAGGAAAAATGGGATTGTTAATCCATGTAATATCTAATCATAAATTCATAACTCCCCACATACGCAGTGAAAAAAACTTTTAAAACTTCAGTTGTGCATTTGTATATGAATATTTTATATTTTGCTCTTGTAACTGGTACAGTTCAATGGTTCCTGGTTCAAGAAATCCAATGTGGGGAGAGGAGTTCAACTTTTCTGTTGATGAACTTCCTGTTGAGGTACTCTGACAGTTTTTGGTAGGACTTGTAATTTGCTAAGAATAAAGACTAATTCCTATGCTTATGAAATTTCACCTGATGCCAGAGCTTGTATCATTATTCAATGCTTGATATTTTGCTTCCTTACACTGATTTGATGCACTGAGCGAAGAATATGAGCATGTAAGATAGCCTAGCAATATGTGGTCATTATGCTTGTTCTGCAGGAAGGATGTGGTATAGGGAATGAGTTTTAGGAAAAGCATAAAGTAAACAAACCCTGTTAGCATTTGAACATTTATTGAAGGATTAACTTCGATGCTGTAAAATCAAGGTGATGATCCAAATAATTTGGTCACTTTGCTTTATGGCTTTTACTGAAACATTTGTCAAGTGGGAGTGAAATGAGCCAAATGTTTGATGAAGTTTGGACTTATGAATGAGGTTACCCACTGAATCTCATTTTCATTGTTCTTGATTAGAGCTCCTTAATATATATGATGCTAAGATAACTGGCATAGGAACTTCACTACCATTGAAGGTCAACTAAATTATAAATATTATTGTGACACTAAGTCAATAATTGATGGTATGCTAAAGAGTTTGATAAGGATTTACTTTCTATTTTGATTTACTGTTTCCAGGTTATGTTATGGCTTGTGAAATCATTTTTCTGGAGGTTTACTGCGGGGTTCTGATATCTAAACATGTGTGCTTGATATAGGTCTCCTGGAAATATTTGCAAATGTGTTTTTCCTCTTATGGGCCAGAAGAACATTGTTTTTGTTCTAGTTTATTGAACTTCAGGCATAGAAAAACTCATTTATATATATATATATATATATTTTACAATACATCTTTAGCCTTGTTAGTTTCTATTGCACTAATTCTTTACCCAATTGCATGGCAGATTAATGTTACAATATATGATTGGGATATTATTTGGAAGAGTGCAGTTCTTGGTTCAGTGACTGTTCCAGTTGAAAATGAAGGTCAGACTGGAGCTTTATGGTATTCGTTGGATAGCCCATCAGGACAGGTAAATGCTATTTATTCATAATTTCTAATTTGGATTCAGATTGAGGTTTTTGGCAGAAATGCTTGAAGTCCTTGAGGTTTCTGCAGTAATGCTTGAAATCCTGCTGTTTCAAAAATTGCACTCACTTAGGTCCAGAGCTTTCATCATGTGTTCACTCCATTTCATGGTAGAAAAATTTTCAGAAATTTGTTCCCATAATACCCTTTGTTATCTCAATTATTATTCCAACATTATGAATTGTTTTAAGTTTTCAATTTTGAATCCAAGTCTCCAGTAGCGAACGATACATGCATACACACATATGTACATATATATTGTAATTATTATGCATTTTATATGTCCAAATTTAGAAGACAATGTTTTTCTTTCCAAGAAGAAAATAGAAAATTATAATTTTGTATGCATCTAGGAGTTGAGTGTAATTTCTAGTGTAGGTCCTAAAAAGGAAGCCCACATAAAGTTGTCAAAAAGAAACTCATGTTGTCTCAATCAAATTTTCACTTTGGAATTTTTCAGAGGACATGCCAAGATTGTGGTAGTAATTGAATTGTCTGATCTGTTTTTCAGGTTTGTCTTCATATTAAAACTTTAAGGTCGAATACGAATTCTCCCAGGTAGATCTTTCCTTAGGTTTTTTTTTTTTTTTTTTTTTTTTTTTTTTTTTTTTTTTTTTTTTTTTTTAAATTATAAATTCCCTTTATATATATTAGGATGACTTCTCTTTGCGGTTTGTGGGCCCAGACTAAGTATTTTATACATAATGTCATTATGAGTTGGTCGACTTGTTTTTAATGATGGTCTCTGATGGACTTGTGCTAGCTACTTTTCTGGAACAGGATAGGGAATGCATGCTTATCTGTCTTTGCAATAGATGAATTATTTTGCAATTTTTTTTGTTTGTTTTTCACTTGTAATGACTATTTCATTTTGCAAAGTCATTCTCCTCAATGGCCCATTATGGTTTCTTTCTATTTACTCTCCACACATTTATTCATTTGTTTGACAGTAGCCGTCAAGTTTCTCCTTGCATGAATGTTCATTTTTTTAAACATTGGTAATTTTGTTCTAAAATCTATTATAATGGATGTTGTTAATAATTGAGTTGTGTGATTTGTATTGTTAAGTTATTAAGTGTTTGGAGTAGGAGATGCTTTGGCATGTGAAGTCACAGTTTTTTTTTTTTTCCCAGTTAATTTTGACAATAATCCTTATAGTGGGAGTCTGCAAGATATTCCCATAATTCCATAAATAGGGAGAATTCTGAAAATATAAAGAAGTGATTAATAAGCAAGTTATTCTATTTTCTCCTCTTACTTCTTCCTTATTTATTGATGATTTATTTACTTATTTATTTATTTATTATTTATTATTCTGTGTGTGTGTGGTGATCACCTGGTTAGGTTTCTGTAGTTTTTCAAGTTGACACATCGTCAAGGTAAATCATCTTAAGGTGCACTTTAATGTTTATGAACTGGTGGATAATGAGTTCCATTTTAGGCGTTTGAATGGCATTGCCGGTGCTAGTGCTCGAAGGAGGGTTACTTTGGAAAAACAAGGACCTACAGTAGTGCACCAGAAGCCTGGACCGCTGCAAACAATATTTGAACTCCCTGCTGATGAAGTAAATATTTTTTATGGGTTTCTTCTCTTGCTCTTCCATTTCCACAATACATGCTTTTGGAAATGTAAAAATCTAATTTGTGTGTGCATGTGCATGTGCATGTAATTCAGTTCTGAGGGAGAGGAATACAAACTTGGAATCTAATTCAGTGAAGTTGCTCATTTAATTGGTGGGTTATTTCAGGTTGCTGACCATAGTTTTTCATGTGCACTCGAGAGGTCATTTTTGTATCATGGGCGGATGTATGTCTCAACATGGCATATCTGCTTCCATTCTAATGTGTTCTCAAAGCACATGAAGGTTTGCTTCCTTTTTTAAAGCATTATGGTGCCATCCTAGAGGACTTTAAAAGCATGTATTGGGGGAATTTGAGATATGCTAACATTTAAGTGGCCTTGTTTGGCAAAATTTAATCCAGATGTCCTAAATGAGGTGTATGCATTACAGGAAGTAACTGCGATTTTGGATTTTTATGAGTGACCCAACAAAGTAGATGAATAACTTGATGAAATCTATATAACTTTCTTCCTTTTGATTGTCTTGGCATTGCATTCCTTCAGTGGAAGTGCATCTGTTGAAACATTTTACTTTTTTGTGTTAAGATTTGCTGGCTCTTTCCTATTTTTCCTCCCCTCTTCTAGTTGATTAATCTTTTGTGGGAGAAGTAAAACTGAGGAATATTTGATCTCTTTTGACTTTTGTAAAATAGCATTACCATGTGTAAGAATACAGATCTTTTTTAAAATAGATATTTGGTCCATAATTATGATATAGTTTTCGGCCAGCCAAGTGCTAACACCATCTCTCATCACAAAACTTCAAGTTGTATCAATAACAATAGATGGCTGGTAGCATAAATTATCCATGTGGATAATATCCCATCTAAGCCTTTCCGTACCGGCTGAACAGAAGTATTGGCTTCAAGTGTTCTGTTTTGAAATTTCTAGATTCTCTTACAATATTCGTTGTTCCCATTACTACTATATTGTTGTTTTCCTTGTGTAATTCTGAACATTTGTTGGGACTTCTAGTGAAGATTCTTTTTCAAGTTGAGTGTGTTTTCTGGAGCTGTTAAAGAGTACAAAGCAAAGAATAGGAAACCAAAGAGAGATAGGTATATGATGAGCTTAGAACACCTTGTGTGTACATGTACATACCAAATTGTAGAATTGCAAGATAAGAAGTCTTCCTATTTTTCCTACCCCAATCTTCATGGAAGCTTTCTTACTGCTTTGGATTGTCTATTTAGATCTATATGGTCGTGCATAGTTTTTCATCAGTTACCTTGGTGCCAGAGTGAGGTTTCGATATGCTAAGATGGCAGTTTCATCTGATCTTTGTGTTTTCAGGTAATCGTTCCTTTTGGAGATATTGATGAGGTATGCAAATCCTTTCATGCTGCTGATGATCTTGCACTTCGAATGCTATGACTTTTTCTGTTAGAATGGCTTATGTATATTATTGAATTTGATCAGATTGTTATTTGCTTTCTAGATTAGGAGGAGCCAACATGCATTCATCAACCCTTCCATCACAATAATTCTTCGTGTGGGTGCAGGGGGCCATGGTGTGCCACCTTTAGGGAATCCTGATGGTAAGTAGTTCAAGTTACAAAAAATATATTCTTTAGTGCTTGGCTTTATGTGAATCCAGTAGGGCCATGTGGGTAAATAGGGACACAATTTGCAGTTATTCCACATACCCTTCTTTTAAATTGCTTTTTTGTACAAGCAGATGAATAAAATTCAAACTTTAAAAGTAATCTTAGTTTCAAAAATCTGTTGTACAAGTTGGATTTAGAAATTGGAAAAATGTGAACATATTATTAAAATAAGGGGCTGTGAGTACATTGCACATTAAGACCTTTGAGGGTTACATGCCTTCTGCATGCTTTTAAGTTTGAAAGTTAGCATATCATTTGAGATACCTTAAAGAAACTCTTTTGTGTCTAACTTACAACTTTACAACTTGTTTGGTTCAATGGAATTGAAATTTTTTGGAGTTTTAATTCCTTCAAATGTGAGTTCTCGTGTTTTGTTGGTAGGAAAATTTTTCCTTGGAGTTTCAATTCCTTAAATTTGAGGAATTGGAATTCCATTGGCTTCTTTTGGAATTTTAAATTCCTCATTACTTGAGAAGAAAAAGTGACAATATTAATGGGACAATATTACCATCACAGTATCACATACAATTTATTATGTAGTGGCATTTGAGTCTTTATGCTAATTATTCCCAATGATTTCTTCCCCACCAACCAAACAATGGAATATAAAGTGTGCACTAATTCATTTCCATGGAATTTAAATTCCATTCCTCAAATTCTTTTCCGTGAACCAAAATGGGTTGTTATGGATCAATGATTATTTTTTGCCAAAGGTTTGGGGGCTATGCATTTTTGTGCCTTAGCTCTGCAGATGAGGAGGTGAAGGAAATACTCTTCTTCCTATTTAATCCCCTTCTTTGATGGTCACATTTCTTATATAGACAATGCCACTAGAGCAGCCACCTACCCTAGTTTCTCCAAAGAAGATAAATCATTTACCATCACTCCCCCAGCATCCCAGAAATAGGAAGTTACTATAACTATGTTGTTCTGCTCTGAACTCTCAGTATAATTGAGCTTAAGTGCTTTACAGAAAAATACTTGAGCTTTTTATTTCTTTAACCAAAGTGTTGAGAGAGAAAAGGCATTTACTCAACTTGTTGAAATTGAGGGTTTGAAAGGCTTGGCAGGTGGCAAATAGCCACCACCTGCAAGATAGGTGGAAACACAATATATGTGAGAAACCAAAGAAAGAGAATAGAAAGAATATATTATAATAAAGGATTACAATAGATTGTATCTTTGTGATTTCTACATTTTTTTCTAGATATTAGTTGCTTGTTTCCTCTTTACTATGCTCCTGATGCCAATGCCATGTACAAGCTGAAGTTTTGAGTTTATAAAATTGCAAAGATGACTATATATGAGTCAATTGTTCTGTCTATTTCAGGCAGAGTCAGGTATAAATTTGCTTCCTTTTGGAACAGAAACCATGCATTCAGAGGTTTGCTACGTGCAGCAAAGAACTTTCATGCAATGTTAGAAGCTGAGAAGAAGGTGAAGTTTTTCTGGTTTTAGTTATTCATGTCTTTCTTATTATCTATGTCTCTAATTTTAACTTAATTACTTTGGAAAACTTGTATCCGGTTATAATATTTCCTTTGTTGGGAGCTGCTGAGCTCATTTAACAACTTGATGCAAAGCTGAAAACCAAACACAAAGCTTAATCATATGTTATGGACTATCATCACAGGCAAAAAAGAACCAATGAATGAAGAACAGAACTGGGTTTTCCTGAGGCTCCAAAACTCCCTAGTCCCTTTGCTGGGATGAAAATCTGCTTGTCTTCTATTGAAACTGGTTCCCCATTTTTATAGGGTAGAATACAACTTATAAAATGACTTAAATCCAACTAATAAGCGAAATTATCTGCTAAAATCTTCCAACTTACCAAACAATGAAATAATATATAAAGTAAGTTGTTGAGAGATTTCTTTAAGAGAAAGTGAGCTATTCTTTTTAATCCATACAAAGAGCATCAGATTACATATCAATATATAGGCAAACAAAAAGCATTGGGAAGGGGCAAAATAAAGGAATAGTCTGCTCAAGAAAACTATTCCACTCCTCAAAGCCTTAATTACAAGAGTAAATAAGGCTGCAGAGGAGGCTGCCCAAGATAGATATTTCCAACATAAGTCAATAATTTTTCAAAAATGAATCTCTTCCAACTGAGAAGCTTTCCAAATAACTGCAGTTTTCCAATCTAAGAAGACAATCATTCTCAACACATCAGAGTGGATGGTTGGTGATATAGACTCTAATGTACTACCAGTCATCTAATAATGTAACCAATCAAGGCATGTAAGCTGAGCTTTGTACTGCAATATGAATCTGATGTTGCATGCAGATTTATTTCATGCATGTTGCTGTATATATATATTTTTTTATCTTTGTAGTTTAATCTAATGCTCAGTGGTTTTGGCCCTTAGACCTGTGGCAAACTGTAATCTTTTATTCCTTTTGACATAGGAGAGGGAACAGTCAATGCTACGTGCACATAGCAGCTCTTTTAAAGCTAGTAATATTAGTCCACAGGAAAGTGTGCCCAAGGTGGAGAAGTTCCTTCCATTCATCAAAGAGGAAGTTCTTTCTGGCATATATAATGTATGCAGTAGCTCTAAACTCGATTTCTTTGTTACTTTGATTGATTACTTTTGTATGTATTACAAAATTTTCTTAAAACATATTTCAGGATGTTTTCCCATGCACTGCTGAGCAATTCTCTGAATTACTGCTAGTCAGTGGTTCAAATTTCATGCGCGAGTACCGTGCATTACGAAAGGACACCAACCTTGCAGTATGTTCCAAGATTTTTTTGATAGACTGATTTGAATCTCTGGATTCCTAGATTCAGATTTCTTGTCATTTATGCTTCCTATAATCCTATGCATCCTGCACAAGCTAGCAATGTACCATCTTTTGTTTAGCCAGGAAGTAAAGATGGATTGGCAGTAGTTTAACTAATTCTATGTGTGGCTTGGGACTTGTTCCGTGATAAGATTGGAAAGTACAGGAAAGAACTAATTTTTTTGACTTGTGCTGGAGAATGCAAGATATACCCTGAGTGCCAAATTTTGCTTATTTATCTGTTTGTTAGTGTTTCTTAAATGCATTTCATGAGATGATTAGCCTGAACTAGCATAGAAGGTTAGTTCTGTAGAAAGCCGGCCTGGCTTCTTAGCTTAATTATGTTGCTTGAGCTTGTCATATGCTTGGTGGCAATTACTAGTCTCAATTCACTGTCAAAAACTGTTATCTTACACCCAGTATATATGCTTGGCGGAACAAACATAATTGGTTTTAATTTCTGGAAAAGACTGCTAATGCCTTTTATTTTATGTTTTGCTGTCTGGAAGAAGGTTATTAACAAACTAACCTGATGTGTTTTATCTAAGTCATAATTTGCAGTTGTAGAAGCATGTACAGAGAACTGATATTTTCTTCATTTCTTGTATGTTTCTTAGATGGGTGAGTGGCACCCTGCAGAAGAGTATGATGGTCAAGTCAGGGAAAATACATTCAGATCTCTTTGCAATAGCCCAATGTGCCCACCAGATACAGCAATGACGGAATATCAACATGTTGTTCTGTCACCAGATAAAAATTTACTGGTATCATTATCATTGCATCATCATGTCATTTTTTTTTTTGTCTAATCAGTAGTGATTCTATTGCTTTTGTTGCTTTAATAAATAATTTTTCATTCATTTCTTTCCCTTGACATTTTGTCACTGGTTTATTAGGTGTTTGAGAGTGTACAACAGGCACATGATGTACCATTTGGATCATGTTTCGAGGTATGCTAGTCTTATGGTCATCTTGCTATGAGTTCATATTATGTTCTTGGTTTTGTGTATATTGTTCAAAATTACATCCAGTTTTTGTGTTATGCTATGTTTATTTGCTAGGATATCCTTGCAATCTGGTATTTTGATATTAGTATGCGAACCCTATTGTTTTATTGGTGCATCTACCACAGTACCCACATCTTGTAAATATTATAAATTTATGTTAGGGAGTTTACATATAAATAGGATTACTATGTAATACCTAAACATGTCAACAAACTATTCTGTTTCTCCCTATACATTTATTTCATTAGACCTATGATGTTTTTCCCTTTACCTTAGTGGATTCATGAAAATGCATCCTCAGTTCTGTTGTCCTGCTAACTTTCCTCCTTTTAATGTATACATTATACAATATAAATTCTTTGGACATTGATGGAAAACGTTATTCTTAAGCTGTTCCCATTATATTAGTGGATATATTAACATAGATGCCTGATTGTGTTGACGTAATTTCATATTCCTTGAAGTGCCCATAAGTTCACCATAAAGATTGTTGGAGAAAAATGTGATTGAATGTTTTTGTTGTCCATCCCTTTTGTTGGCAATAGATATAAAAATTTTTGTTGTCTGCAACAAAAATATTTTTATAATTAGTATCGGTTTTCTAAAGAGATGGATTATTCAACAATTTTCTTTTCAATTTCTGATTCCCCGTCATGGCTTATTGTCAGTATTCTTTTTAACTTTTTACTCCATATCTTTAAGGTTTTAGTGCTAAGAAATGGCCTGGTAATTGATTCTTTTTTTTTTTTTTATTTCCTCTCTAGTATGCCTTTAGCACACTAGCTGCAAAGTTCTTCCACATGGTGTGTTGATGGCATTCTGTTACCTTGACCATAGTGAAGTTCCATCTATGCATATTGGCAAAGATAGTAGTTATTATTGAGTGAACTTCTATCTGTGTATTGTAAATTTAGATATGTACGGACTGATTGTATAAATCTCCTCTGCTCAGATATTCTATAACTACTTGTGTGTTACCGTGCTTATACAACTTTATCACTTCTTTTTCCTTCATCAGGTTCATTGTAGATGGTCTTTGGAAACTAATTCTGAATCCTCCTGCTATATGGATATAAAAGTTGGTAAGTTGCTCCAATTCATTCATTGTCAAAATTCTTTTTCTACATTCTATAATTTATCACATCTTAACTTGATCCATTTGGTGGATTCATCAATATTGGTAATCAAGTTGTTTTCGGCATATAATTGTACTTTGGTTTAAGTTGACAAAGCTTGAGATTGTTATTGAGAATATGTGCATTGATGTGGAAATGAAGTAATTTCAGACCGTTAAGAGTCCCACATTGAAAAATAAGAGAGAAACATATAGGTATATAAGGCCATGAGTTAGACTAGCTAATTAATTGAATTCTGCCTTTTAGTGTGGTTTGGCCCATGTGCCAATTGAGGGACATTGGCCCAGCACCCAGTTAATTTATATCACGTTCATTGTGGACTATTTTTCTTTCTGTGAGAGCTATGAATTTATTGTTATTGCATTTTAACAGTAATAGGCTCTTGTGACCAGAAGCTTTAGAAATTCTTCAAACCAAATGTGATGCCTGTCAAACCGTCAATGTTTTTGCCCCAACTGCTCAGTGAAAGTCTTTCAATTGACCTTATTTGATGGTCCATTTCATTGACATCTTTGATCTATTCTTACACATTCCAATTTCCAACATTATTTACTAATGCGTCTTCAACATATTCCATTAATACATTGAGATGTACACAAATTTTTTTTTTTTAATTAAATATAATAATCTTCTAGTACATATTTTAACAGGTGCACATTTTAAGAAATGGTGTATAATGCAGTCCAAAATCAAAGCCGGTGCTGTAAATGAGGTATCTCTTGCCTTTAGAATGTTGCAATTCTATATATCTGAATAGAGTTATATTCTTACTAACTTTTCTAGTGAAGTAATAAGAGAATATAAAAGCCAAAGACCTTGTGGTCAAGCGGCATGAAGTGACTCTCCCAAATGGGAGGTCATGGGTTCGAGCCTTAGTGGAGGCAATATTGACTCGTTGGGCTTCAGTAGGGTCGAGAAAGTATATATGAACAGATATTACATGTAACAGGGTCAATAGTACTCAAAAAGAGAATATAAAGAGTTATTCTTCATTTTTGTTGCTCTCTATGCTTACGATATCTATTCACTCTTCTACCATTTGTCCAGTATAAGAAAGAGATGGAGCAAATGCTAGACGTGGCTCGTTCATACATTAAGTCTAAACTTCCTGCTAGTGAGAGTAGTAGAAAGTTTGCTTCCTCGCCATCGCTTACCAGTGACATCAGACAGGTATCAAGTACTTAGAGATTCAGCCAAAAGGATTATTATTTTTCGTTTCGTTTAATTTATATTCATTAGTAGTCACTGCCTCGCATAATTGCATTGTGCCTCATCTCCAAAATGGAGGTAAAACAGTGCGCTTTGTAATCCTTGTGCAGTACACTTTGATGACAGTAATATTGTTGTGCAAATTTGGTCTCTGTGATAATTTAGCAATATAAGTTTGTAGCTTTAGGTCACAATGATGATGTATTCTGGGCTTATTAATGGTTCTTTATGTTTGTAGTGTAAATGGTTTTGACAAAGTTGAAAATACATTTTCAGAGTTGAGAGTTTTGAGTTGTGACGCTCTTTGACAGCATTGCAATGTGCTTTTTAATTTTATTACTTTTAAATATTAAATAGCAAAATTGATGTCGAACGTGTAACTTTTTCAAATTTTTTTTAGACTATTGTTATAAAATTAATTAATACAATTTTAATTTTTAGACATTATATTTAAAATGTTTTTAGATATGTTTAGTTTAAACTTTAAATAGATTAAATATATATATACATACATTTTTAAATTTGATATTCAAATTAAATTTATATTTAAATATAACATAATTAAAAATATATCCAAACTAATAATTTATTAAGTTCACTCAAAATTTAGTTTAATATTAATATTTTTTTAGTTAATATTTAAAATATTTTTGTGTATATTCATTTGAGTGGAATATGTATATAAATTACTTAGAAATTGAATATATGTGAAATTTTAATATTCGACATTTGAACCAAATTTATATTAAGATATAAATAACTAAAAATATTAAATCAATAATCTATTGAGTTCAATCAAAATCTAAATTTTAGTTTAGAATTCAAGTTTAAATTGTGATGGTGTGAATAAAGTTTAAGTAAATGCAAATAGAAAAGATAGAAGGTACTTATAAATAAAAAAAGATAATAATGAATGTAAAATATATAAGTAAATAATAGTGAGAATGTTGTAGTAGTGATATATAGTCAAACAAATTCAGTTTTTCATTTAGAAAAAAAAAAAAAAAAGATTATCCAATTTTCTAGACAAAAACTATGCTACTAAAATATGTTTTTTTTTTTTTTTTTCTTGTTTTCTATTTTCAGTTAGTAAATAAGCCCTGAGAATTGTATGTTGAGACATATTTTCCCTCTTAGTGCTAGTTGCATACATGCATGAGAATCGCCCAAAGATTAAACAATCCCGTTGGGAGTCAATGTTGCAACCTTGTAGTTACTAGTTAATAACCTAACTAACTTGATTAAGTTGCTCCTCAAATCAACTAGTTCGAATAGATTATTGGTTGTTCATAATATTTTTTTTAAAGGAATTAATTATATATATTCTTTCAAGCTCAAATGCTTATTTATAGTTTTTTCTCTTTTTTTTTTTTTTATAGAATAAATAAATAAATAATATAATTGCATTTCTAAAAAGTTCGAAAACTTATATTACTCCTAACAGTCCTAAGTCCTAGTTATTTTTTTTTATTTTTTTTTTTTTGGATTATGTATAAACAAAAACTAAAGTAGTAAAATTTACAGTTTTCTGTAATTGAAATGATCATGTGGTAAAAAAAAAAAAAATTGGTCGAATATGTTGGGAAATTTTTATTTTTATTTTTTTGAGAAAATTACATTTTTTTATTGTGAAATTATTATTATAAAATAATAATAATAAAAAAATTGATATATGTGTTATAGGTGTTACCCCTTTTTATCCTTAAAAATTATAAATAAAGTGATTTTTTAGTTCTCTGTTAACAAATTTATCAAAATTACTATTACTCTTAGGAAATCCTAATTGATCATCTATTAATATAGAGACCTGAAGTTTACCTCATCAATAATTTTTTTTGGTTAGATCATGATGTATCTTGTATAGACCTTAACTATATCAAGATTTTTAAGCTTGTACCCAAAATATTCCATATTTGCATCGGGCTAACTTAAATAAGGGCTAAAGTGTTGGTCATATTAATTTTCTTTTATATATAAAAAGAGGATTTTAACTTCTGACATCTCTTAAAAACATGAGAGTGTACGGCCACTCACATCAACTAAGGGCGTGTTTGGAAATCAGAAAATGACTTTTTGAAACTGTTTAATTGTTTTTTTGAAAAATGAGTCATTTTTAGCAAATAATTTCATTTTCAGTGTTTAGTTGAATTCTGGAAAGCTATCTTTTGTGTTTTTGGTTAATTTTATAAAAAATGAGTAAAATTGTATAATTAAACATTTTAATTGTTTTATTTAGAATATAAAAAAAAAATATTTATAATAATATTACAAATAATGTTATTTATTAATTTTTTAAAAAACCCCGTAAACCAAAGCTGTTATGGTTTCTGTACTGTTCTGGTTTTCGGTGAAAACTAAACCTATGATTTTTGCTGAAAACCAAGCTCGTCGATATTGTGATTGATCTGTGAAAAATGACTTTTCAACAAAATTTTGTACATAAACTATTTTCCTCCAAAATAACCACATTTTTTCAAGTCAATGAAAAATTATTTCCATTATTTGATTTTTCAAACACATCCAAACACTGAAAACTTAATAAATGATATTCCAATTATTTTTTAAATTTCCAAACACAGCCCAACTTGGTTTGCTTCATCACTAATTTAGAGATTAAAAATATAGCGGCCTATAATATATGAACTAATTTTGTGTTTAATTTGAAGTGCAGTTTTAGTAGTATTACGATTTTCCCAAAATATAAAGTAACAGTGATCAGCCACTTCTCAGGAAGATCGGAAGAAGCGAAGAGAGAGAGGGACGAGTATGGGTGGGTCGTCGTTGATCTTCGGCGCTGTTCTTGTGTACTGTTTGGCGGTAGCAGTGGTGGCGGAGGAGCAGCTGAGCACGAAAGAGTGTGAGAATCTCGGCTTCACGGGTCTTGCTCTCTGCTCCGACTGCAGAACGCTTTCCGAGTATGTCAAAGACCAAGGTCACCTCTTTCTCCCTCGAATCAAAATTTCACTTTTCAGTTCAATAGGGTTTATTATTTTCTTAATTGTAGCTCTAAAGTCAATTCCAAAATGCAATTTTGCTTGTGTTATTTATTTACATTATTAATAAGGCAGTGATTGCTCTTGGATTTCGAATTTGATCTTCTGGAGCTATGTTGATTGTGATTTGGTTGGGTGGAGTGGTAATCGACTAATCGGGGTTGAATATACTGAAATCAATAAGCTTGAGCTTTCTGAGTTGTAGGATAAGATTGTTATACTTTTTGCATTCAATGGAAGGTAGTTATTTATAAAAATGATTGGTTTTGAACTTTTGATGTGAAAAATTGAAAATTTCTGTGTTTAAAATTTGTTGGTTTCTTAGTTGGTACTACAGAACTGCAAATCATGGGGTGGATATGCTGAAATTGAGATATGACATATGTGTGATCTCTTAATGTAGTGCAGATGATGTTTGATCTGTGATGCATTTACCATAAGTATGCTGGTATGTGTGAAGGGGTTTTCTGTTCTTTGTAAATTTGTCTAGGTAACTTTAAGTTTGAGCCTTGGTTCTTGAGGATTGATGGTTCGCGAGGAATTCAATTGAACTGCACTTATAGGAATTATTGATTTTCAAGTTTTATGTAAGAAAGATGGGATGCTTTTCCATCTTCCGTTGGCCACTATTTGGTTGTCCTAAATGCCCACCTGAGGTGTTCGAATTTGCCAATATTTTGAAGTCAACCCTTTATGAATGGACATAAATAGCAAGTTCACTGAGGATTTACAGAAAAGCAAACGGTATCCTGTGTGGATACACTGATTCCTTGTGATGTCAGCATAGCATTGTTTTAGTAGTGCAGATTTGAATAAAGTTCTCAAAACTAGGCTATTTAATACAGTCATTGGCACTGTTCACTGGTAATCTTGGACTAAAAATCTAAAATATCACGATTGATGAATGTGAAGTCGAACTATTTTATCTTGGAAAAGGATCACATAATTAATGCTAGACAACTATATTTCGATGCAAGCTCCATAAGGGGTAAATATTTTTACTGTCTTTCTGTGTCACACTAATGCATTTGCACTTTGCTATTGAATGTGTATGGTTGTCCTTATGCCTTATTCTGTAGTGCCTTGAGTAGACAAAAGAGAAGGTAAGTACAACAACTCAACAAGGGAGATGAACAAAGAGATGACTCTTTATCTTATTAACCATTTTCAAGTTAAAACTTCAAGATAGTTCTTATTTCAGAGAAGTGCTTTTATAGCTTGTTTCCACAATGTTTAAATGATATATGGTTTGCAACCTAGATTATAAAAAGAACAAATATGATGGAATGCTCTTGGAAATTTAATTTTTGTCATAATTACTGACTGCTTTTGTATAATTGTATGTGCATCTTCACAACTGCATTAATGCTGTTATAACTAATCTATACTTTCTATTGCATGCAGAGGTGGTGTCTGACTGTTTGAAGTGTTGCACTGAAGACTCAGATGATGCCACAAGCAAGGTATGGATGTTACTCTCAGCTGCTGATAAATGTTTTTATACTAAGAATTTCTCCCTTGTTCTCCTGACTCTCTTATGATGCATTCACTTTTCTTTTTTTTTTTTTTAAAAAAAAAAAATTTAATAATGTGTTGATTATTTCAAGCCATCTCAAAATGGGAAGTATGTCACCTTTTAAATATTCCGGGTTTTTCTAACCTTCCATGATTTCTGGTTTGGAACAAGTTGAATTGAATTGAAGACGAGGAACATCAGCTAGGAGTTTGAGAGGAGGAAGATGCCTAAAATTGAGAGAGTAGACTAAGGATATTCCGATATGGGGGATGGGATTACTCCCACAGGATATCTTATATGACTATAAATAAGTTCATTTGTTAAATATTTCTGTAGACTGGAAATTAAGTTGCCATTAAAATGTAGAGTTATTAGCTAGCATATATATGCAACCTCAAGCAATTTCCTTTCAACTTAGAAGCATATACCTTTAAAAATCTCTTCACTGTTTGTCTGATAGTGTTTATGTTGTAAGTATACTATAAGTCTATAATCATACTCAGAAGGTCATAAGCTCAACTGAAGTTGATCCCTTTAACAGCCCTACTTGCTGGTTTTATTTATATATTACCCAATTTGTCCGATCTTGTGTAACAGGATAGCAGTGGTTGAGAAAGTTTTCTGTGGTACCTTTATCATCAGCTGCTATTTTTGAATTTTATTCTCTCTTTTAGATTTTAGTTCCGTATTTTACTCTCTTTTCTCTATAAATATGTTTCTCCTGTATTGGAATCAAAAAAATGTCAAAAGTTTTTGTTTAAGCGGAATGCTGATGCAGGTTGTTTATGCGGGAGCGGTTATAGAAGTCTGCATGAGGAAGTTGGTATTCTATCCTGAAATCGTTGGCTTTATTGAAGAAGAGAAGGATAAGTTTCCTTCTGTAAAAGTTCAATATGCATATAATTCTCCACCAAAGTTGATTATGCTGGATGATAATGGAGGGCACAAGGAAACCGTCAGGTTAGCTATTCCCATTAGCTTTAGAATTATAACTAACATACGTGGAACACTTCTTGTACTAATCATTCACTACACCCTTCATTCTTCGCAGAATTGACAACTGGAAACGTGAGCACATACTGCAGTTCTTAACCGAGAAGGTTAAACCATCTTCTGATATTTAATGAAATTATTGAAATCTTCTATACAATATTCCATATTAGCACATCAGTTTGAACACTAATATGCATAAACAATCCACTAGCATTGCAAACACTGAAACAATCATTTTTGTATTTAGGCTGTGCATTTAGTTTTGCAGCACAAGTAAACTGCCTATTGTCCTTGCCTTAACCGAGCATGTAAAGACAATGTTAATTTTAAGGATGGTTGCATCTCCCAGTTATTTTCCATCTTACTTGTGTGTGTTCTTTGTGCTAAGTCTTTTTCCAGTCTCCTTTCATAGAGCTGTCAAAATAGTTTAAACTCTTTAAAGTCATATCCCAAGCCTCCAAAGTTTAATTTTCTCTTAGCTTTATATATATCTACCAACCAACTATAAAGAAAAACAAGATTTGTCCGTCCGGACTTAGCTCAGTAGTTTAGTAGGCAGTATTTGGAAGAAGAGACTAAGTGAAACTCGATAGTGGTAGTGTCAGGATTATGCCTAAAGTGGACAGTTCCTTGTGTGTACTAGCACTTGGCCATGTCTGTTAGCCTCAAGCCGAAGTGTGGGGGGCCGTTAGTGTTAGAGATTTAATCTTTGTATATACTATTTCCATTCTTCTTCATTTGTAATTTGGTTTTGATTGAAAACACTTTTGTAGTCTTTTTAAATACTCTAGCTTCCATTTATGATGACCATCTCCAACCCAAAATAGTAAATTTTATACTAAATTTTACACTAAAGAGAATATTTCATAGATATTCTTACACCAAAAGTTTGTCATTTTTAATTTATTTACACCAAATTCTATGTTAAATTGTATCAGTAAAATAATTTGTATTCTTATAATTTAAAATTTTATTTTTAAAATAATTTGTATTCTTATAATTTAAAATTTTATTTTTTTAATTATTTTAATATAAAATATAATATAATTTTGATTTAAATAATAATAATAATATTTTAAAATGAAATTTATGTTTTTATATATTTTAATTTTTAATTAATTTATAATCAATAATGATCTTGTTTTAAACTTTTAAATAAGATCGTTAAATATTTAAGTTCTACACCGTAAATGAATAATATTACACCATATTTGATGTAACACTATTTATTTACTAATTAAGAATAAAATATGTGTTACATATAAGGCAAAATATTATATATTTTTTTTTAAAAAAATGTAATACTTTTAAATTAAAATGTAAAAACATTATATTTATATATTCAAAAGTATTACATATTTTCTTATAAATAACAAACACTTTATTTCTAACACTTTACAATAAAAATATTATATTTTTATCTTAAACCGATTTTGTCTCATATATGTACAACGATCCCACACAAAATTTTGGGAGAAAAATTTAAATATTCAATAGAAGATATAGCAAAATGGCACTCACCATCCACTGCACGTCATTTCCAGGGTCAAATCTATAATAGGACAAAATTAGCAGGACAAAAATATGAGTAATTTTTTTTAACACGATTTCGAGAAAAAAAAAAAGTTTATACAAATAAGGGATATGCATTTCTGACCCCAAACACATGTTGTAAAGTACTTTTATCCATGCATACCAACCACTCCACTCCACCTAACTCAGCATGCACCTCAATACCTCATAACTACTCATCACCAAACAATTCAAATTGGTACTAACAATTCGGTACAGTACTAATTCGTTCTTTGCTAATAATCAATTATTATTATTATTATTATTATTATTATTATTATTATTATTATTATTATTATTATTATTATTATTATTATATTAACACGATAAAGGTATGACATACAACGTAACAATTCTTTCTCCATCAATTTACGTATGAATGATTTCATGTATCCAATTTCATGTTGTGTACAAAATTGTCAACCGTAGTGGATAGTTATCTATCACTTTCTTCTTTCTTCTTTTTGTTTGTTTTATTTTTCTTTTTCTTTTGTTTTGTTTTGTTTTGATAGTATACAAAATAATGTACTTTTCATACACAAATAATATATTTATGTATATAAATAATATAATTTTTATTTATAATTCACATAACGCAGATGTGTGGACCATTGTCTATATTAGGATATTTTTCGTAATTATCTTTATTGAAAATTGTGTCATCGAGGTACTATGACTATAATGGAATTTATCGGTTTCTTTTGAATAAAAGGAAATTAAATTGATTCAATTCTACGTGTTTGAAGATTGCGGTATTGAATTACTATGACTATAATGAAATTCATTGGCGCCTTTTGAAGATTCGATGACTAAAGGTATTCTCAGGAGGTTAATGTATTTTCTTTTTTCATCTCTTATCCATAAAAAGTTTTTCCTGAACATATTTTAATTCTTTGAACCTAGACATATCACCATTTAATTGAATTATTTAATATTTAATTAAAAGTATTTGAGGTAAAGTTAATTCATACTAATATGTGAGAAAATATTACAAGTATTATGGATCATTATAGATGCTGATCTAAAATGACATTTAGATTATGTATTTACCGTTAACATATTATGTACTATTAATTATGCATATAATTTAAAATAGTGGGGAAAATTAGGAGGAAAAAAACATTTTTCAATATAAATAATATTAGAGAGGGGTTGGTGAGGTGGATGCAAAAAAACTAGAAATCATGGTGGATGCCTTTAAAACGGTACTCAGTACTCACCAAACAAATTGATAGTGAGAATTCAGTACAGCAGAAATCCATTCTTTTCTAGTCAAATACTCAAAGGAGAAAGGTAATTATGAATGATTTTTTGTTCGTGTTTACGCGTAATTATATTTCTAGGTCTGATCTTTGTTGAAATATGTCTGTGTGTGTGTATATATATCATTTATGTTTGTGTGTATGTCTACAGCATATATAAACATATGTTTTATTTGTATGTTATTTCTCTACCTTGTTTTCTTTGTATGCTGTTGTTTGTATGGTGTTTCTTACGATCACAGGCTTGGGTGGTCTGAAAATTGTTAAGCTGGCTTGTTCCTTTGTGGCTTGGGTAAGTTCAGATTTACGCATGAAGGGTGCTTGGTGAAATGCCAATGTGAAATTATTTTCATTTTTGGGCGGTTTATTTGGTGTTATAAATCGACTAGGTTTTTACTACTGGGGTTTTGCCTAACTCTGCAAGTCCTCTTTAAATTTAGGTCAACATTAAAGCATTCTTTTACAAAAGGAATTTTTGGGGTTGGAGTATTACTTGTCTGTTCTTCGGTAGGATTTGGGTTTTTGTTTTTGTTTTTGTTTGTTTTTGAAATTTATTTTTTATGTGGCATCTCTGAGAATAAGGTTTCATTCCTCTGTAATTTTAGGTCAAAATTGAAAGGCATTCTTTTAGTGAAGAAGTTTGGTGTTTTCAGGTTTGAAGCTGATAAAGGTAATGATATGGCTAAGAAGTCTAGCCCATCACCATGGCAATCTGGGCTTCCAACAAGTAATACTGAAAAAGATGTACCTTGGAGAAAAGCTCCAGATTCACGTGATAATAGGAATGTGCGTTCTCATTTACTTTCTGGGGGATACAGGTTCAAAGATAAAAGTAAATATGAAAAAGACAAGAATATCTCTCGCAAAAGGCCATACAATTCGAGTGTTGTGAAAGAGTTGCCTTCAAGTTATTGTTCTAGTGGTTCCAGATTGCCAGATGATAGTAATGCTGAAAATTACGAACCTACTCATAAAAAGAGAACTTCTGATTCAGATGGCTATGTGAACTCTTCTTCCAGTAAGCATTCCTGGGATGCCTTGCTGCAAAAGAGAAGTAATGTTCAAGAAGACAAACATATGCCTAAGGAAAAAGGTTCTGGTGCAAGTAATTGTGTGGACTCCTGGCAGCAAAAACAGAAAGTGAATACTGATGATGGCAAAGATATGCCTGAGAAGAAAGGTTCTGCTTCAGGTGACGGTTGGAATACTCATTCCAATCTGCCTTCTTGGGACCCCTGGCTACAGAAGGAAACAAATGCTGATGAAGGCAACAAAAAGCATGAAAAAAATCGTTCCACCGCTTCAGGTGACGGTTGGACTACTCATTCCAATCTGCCTTCTTGGGACCCCTGGCTCCAGAAGGAAACAAATGCTGATGAAGGCAACAAAAAGCATGAGAAAAATTGTTCCACTTCAGGTGACGTCTGGAACCCTCATTCTAGTTGGCCTTCGTCGGACTCCTGGCTGCAAAAGGATACTAATGCTGGCAAAGGCAAAGATATGAATGACAAAACATGTTCTGCTTCACGAGGCTGTTGGAACTCCCATACCAGTTGGCCTTCCTTGGACTCCTGGCCACAAAAGAAAAGTGGTGCTGAAAACTCTAAACAAATGTCTCAAAACAGGGTTTCTGGTTCAGGTGATCATGTTAGATCACCTTGTCATAGGCCTCCTTGGAAATCAAGATGGGAAAAGAGGAGTGATTTCAGAATGGATAAAGCTTTGGTTCATGAAGGAGGTCACAATTCTAGTAATGGAGTTTCTAGACAGGTTTCTCCAAGATCCAGATTGCCGGTGAAAACTATTGCTAAAGAAACCAATGATAGTCCTTGGAAAAGTTCAAACAGTTCTTCTGATTATTTGCAACTTTCTTCAAGTAGGAATGCTTGGAAATCTGAGCTACAAATAAGAAGTAATGTTGAAGGACTAAAAAACATTCTTGAAGAAAGGTCATCTACGGTGATTAAGAGCCTCAAAGAGGATGGCTTAAAGGCAGAGGTTTCCTCAACTAAAGCTGGCTTAAAGGCAGAGGTTAGCTCAACTAAAGCTGGACCTCAGAAAAGGGGACAAAGCTCAGCTGATGGTGCAAAACTGCATTCTGAAGGGCCTAACTGGGAACCTAGGCTACAAAGTAGATGTTATAAGGGAGATTCTACTGATAGCCCTGGCAATTCCAGTATGTGGGAAGGGAGCAATGAAGATGCAGCAAATATGAAACCTAATAACTTGATGCCTAACAGAATTGATCCTTCTGGTTCTCCTTCCGATTGTGCTTTTTGGGAGGTGAAAAAGAGAAGTAATGTTGAAAATACTAACAACAGGTTTGTGGAAAGAGCTGAAACCAAAGTGTGTCCTTGGGAATCCCTGCAAGAGAGAAGTGACAGTACTGGTGGAGATAAAGATGGACTACTGAAAGGAGCATACAATTCAATTGGTGTTGCAGAATCTCCTTGTGCTTTGCCTCAAAATTCTAATGTGCAGAAAAGTAAAGATCCCAAAGAAGTCAAAAATAGATTCAGAAAAAA